GATCTTGTCTCGGTCTCGTCCTGCCTTGGTCTTGATCTTGTCTCGGTCTCGTCCTGCCTTGGTCTTGTCTTAGTCTCAATACACTCTGGTCGCGATAATGACTTGGTCTCAGTTTAGGTGGCTACATCACTACTGTCAGCCATGTCAGGTACACAGTGGGTAATTTAGGGACATACAGAGATTGGGCAGGGTTCACACAAGACAAAGGCAAACCCAGTACAACAACAGGAAATACAACAAGCGTATTTATAATAATACAACAAGGGGCTATTTACAGTTGCTCGCGAGCATGTCAAGATAAGTGAATCCCCCGGCACAACATGTTGATAATATTCTTTAGATGTGACTGTTGATCGAATGCTGGGTGGGACTGAGATTTCAGTAGGTTACTCTACATCTTGTGCCAGTCACTTTCCAAAACTTTCGTACAATGCCATGAAGAGTATTTAAGTATAATTTTCTTCAACTGCCAAAGCCAACATTAAATAATATTAATATTTTACCTTAAAAGGTTTTCTGTTTGCAGTGTTCCGCGATCCTCCCAAATCGAACTGAAAGTGGAACTAAACGGAAATTATAGGGCGTGGTGAAACTTCCGTCTATCCACAGAGTGTATATACGTTTTTTTAAAAAAAGTTTTATTTAGAGGACCTATATTTTACTCCTTTTGCAACGAATAATAATTTCATTGGAGACTAGATGCTTCAGCTGGCGCTTCCAGTCTTAAGAACTATGGTCCCTCTCGGGAGATCTTAAGAATAACTTTTATCGATATATTTAATACAAATACTGGGGTGACTTTCTGACTAACACACTGTAACAGAAATCATATATAAGTTTTACACTAACGTGAAGATCATTTAAACATAATTTTCCTTAACTGTCGTACTTTTTTACACAGTACTTTATAATTTTTTATAATTACCTTACAGGATTTCCTGATGGTCGCGTTCCGCGTTCCTCAGACGTTTACGCCCAGTGTGAAAAACTAAATTCCGTGGTACCATAGAAAGATGAGTCAAAGGCCATTGCGCAGAATCGGTGCCGCGACAAACACATTCCTTTACGGAAACTGCGGAATAGATACTGCAAACAAGAAGCCAAGCGAATCAGATGCCCTGAATAAGTAGCTAACATGAGTGAACATGAGTGAGTGAACATGCCGTCACTAAACAACAAAAGAAACATGCATATTGTTGGAGTCAGAACTCCGCCGGGTCCGTTGATGAGAAGAGATTCACTGCACAGTCGAGGAATAGTTGCAAGTCACCAGTTTATTCTGATTAATCAGGGAGCAACCATCTGACATACATTCAGCATGTACAGGAAGATGCTCGAACCATAGGGGTCAGCTCTGGGTCTTTATAGGCCTTTTGGGGTGTGGCCCCCCTTTTTCTGTACTTTTCCATCTACGTGACTACAACAGATTTTGGCTTTTGCTCTAGTTAGTGTGTGTGCATGTTCCCAGAAAAGAGTGAAAATAAGTGTCAGCTATATGATGGGTTCCTGTTCTCTTACTGTCTGGGACGAGGTCATCTTGACCTGTTTTCTTGCCTATCAGTTCCTGTTTTCCCTACTTCATGGAGTGAGATCATCCCATCCTGTAGGCCTAGTCTCAGTTCCCATTTTTAGTGTCTGCATTATATTAGACACTGTGTTATTAGACATTAGTAAGTTAATATTTGGATTATAGTGAAATTAACCCCATTATTGTATGATGCACCCCTCAATTTACAACAATAGTCTGATGTCTGCAATTTTTATTAGTACCAACGCCCGCCCCTCCCCCACCACCACATTGCCCTCAAGCCAAACCTCTTAATCCTACAGGAAACAATGTGCTTTGTCATGTCAGGCACGTGAAACAAAATTGCGTTTCTACGGAGCAGTATGCATTGTGAATTATTAGTAAACATGCATGTAAACACAGAAAAGAAGCTATAAAAGAACTTTAAAAGAAAGTGAAGTTCAAATAAGCATTTATCAACATTTATGGCTGGTGGGTGGGAGTTGAGAAGTCTGACTGATTGAGGAATAAAACTGTTGCAGAACCTGGCGGTGGTGGACGGAATTCTCCAGAACCTTGTTCCAGATTGGAGGTGGGGTGAACTGGCATTTTGACAGATGCGAGGGGTCACATTGGTTGGAGTGGGCTTTGTTGCTGCAGTGTTTGTATGTGTGCCTGCAGGTGAGGAAAGGGTCCTGTGATTGTCTCTGCTATCTCCACTATTGACTGGATGGACTTATGGCCAGACTTTGTGGTTCCTGTACCAGATGGCGATGTCAGGATGGTCTCTATGGTTTGTCTGTACAAAGCTGAGACCTAGAAGGGGAAGGCATGGTCTTCTCGGTGGGCAAAGGCAGTGTAGCTGCTGTGCCTTCCTGAAATGGCAGGTGTTAGTCCAGGACTCTGCCTCAGAACTCCCCTGAAGCCAATTTAATAGCACGTTTGTCCCATATAGGAATTGTTTTTGAATGATTCCTCTGTATACAGCAGTGCTTTATTAAAAATTAGTGGGTGATAAATATGATACGAGATATTAATACCACATGATGCAGCGTGTTTCTTTTTGAGAAACATTTCCCATCGCAGTCTTATGTCACTGGGAAGCAATGGAGGTGGTCCATGGATCTCATATTTGAGTGTAGTCGCTTGCCTGTTAAATGACACAGGGCTCTGCAGACATTTCAACTGCTTGTCACTGTCGGAATTCTGGCATGCTTACAGTGGAGAATTTCCACAACTCGATGAGATCACAATAAAAACAGTGCTGCCCTTCCACTACACTTATTTCTGCAAAGCAGGGATTCTCCCACATTACGGCGACCAAGTATCTGAATAGAATGGCAGCTGAAACACTCTGCAAGTGTCAGTCATCAGTCCCTCTTCAGTTTGACAAATTAGCTGCAGGGAAGCAGACACACCCATCAAAATAAATTTTGCAAACTTTTATATACTTTTATATATGTATTAAAACATATCTTAAAATAGAGATTCAATCGTAACTTGCAGTTTATTGATTGTAAATTTAATAAATGGCACCTGAATCCAGGTAATTGATTAAATTGTTCCAAGTTATCACTTAAGTTTTAGACTTTACTGTAAAGTAGTAGAGGTATGAATTTACAAGCAAGAAGTTTAGGACAATAGTATAAAGTTGCCTAAATAAAAACAAAAGCAAATGAAATATAACACACATTACAGTATATATATGTTATACATGAACAAAAATGCTTGGAATTCTAATGGAAAAGCACACAAAAATGAACAGTCCTGTATTTCTTTTTGCAAGAATTCCATCTCAAAGTTTCTATTTAATGTTGAATTTTTTACCATCAAGCATTTCCTCATTAATCAGGTGCACTGACATAAATGATTTACAGAATGCATGGTTACACGTGAAAATTAAGCAAAAGGCAACTCATTTCTACAAAAAGGTAGATATACAGAGGAAAAATGATCTAAAAAGGATGCTTTACGTTTCAATTTTTTTTTTAAACAAAACAGTCCATGCCACGCAGTTAGATTTGTGGATGGGTGTTAAATAGCTTTGCAAGTTCTACAACACAACACTAATCCTACTGAAATAACATTTTGAATGAGAGGGAAACTAATGCTCACTTCATATTTACATTTCATTCAAATATACAAGTTTACACTCTAGAGCAATACTGTGCTGTGAAAGAGAAGTTGTGTAGCTCCTATTTACTCAACATTAAGAAACGGCAAAGGAACTCCAACTATTTTTTTTACATCCTTGTTCTTGTTCTGCAAGTCCTCTGTAATTTTGTCCGTCTTTGACAGGCCCAAATATTCTTCACACTGCAAGACATTAACAGTTGATCAATCACAACCATTCTCCGATTTTACGTTTTTTCATAACATACACTTTCATTAATGTCTCTAGTGTTCTGCTTTTAAAAAACTACTGCTGTCTCATAAGATTATTAATGAAACAGATTGTTTTCAAAAACAAAATTCCATATGATCATTACACATTACCTCTGTTACAGGCACTGTCCATATTCATAGCTCTTAATGGGAGGAGACTTCGCACCCTCCTCGAAGAAGTCTTCCAAACTTTCAGCTATAAGATGCAGGACCTCGTTCTCATAGAAGTAGACTTTGCCCTGGCTGTCTACCAGCACGATGAGCTGCAGCCCCTCTGCCAAGGACGGGAAGTTATCGATGGCACCAATGACGACCATCTCCGTTGACTCAGGAAGGTACAGCTCACTCCAGCTCTCCAGCATCTCATCTCTTCCCCAGTAGACGGTTCCATTCAGGTCTGTGATTCTGACTGCATAGCCTTTTGGTTCCTTTAGTTTGATTTCAAGCCCGTTGTATTTCTTCACCAGCTTAGGAAGCTCCTTTGAGTCTGTAAACAGAAGCCTTGTCAGTGAAGGGAGAAGCAAGGCCTCGAAACCCACATTAGCTGAGAAGTAAGATGAGCTGTCAATCATTAGTTTAGTCTAGTTTAAATATTTAGATATTAGGCTACAACGAGTATTTCTCCACTAGCTCTGTGTAATCCCCATCTGTGAAAGGAGAAATCAGGCTTCAAAACCCACAATGGGTTAGACTTAAATGAGCTGTCAATCACTGTTTACTTTAACCTAATAAAGATTAAAACGAGTGAAGTAACCGCACATGGTAAGTCCCATCCATGGTTGGCTTTGAAGCCTTTCTACTTTCACATGTCCATATTTGAAAATTAGTTGGCATGAATACAGAGTTATTTTGTGGATAGAGGGGTGCATCATAGGATCAAGATTTTGTTTCAACCAACCAGCTGAGCTTAAAGACTCACAGTCACAGAGTACTCAACTGGTTGGTTGAAACAAAATCCCGGTCTGGACTCTCTGGACCTGAATTACCCAACTCTGCATGTACACAAAACACAGCAAAATTTCTCATCTTATTCTTTACTTACCCATTGCACAGAATTCATCCACATAGTTACTACTCTTCCCATAATCCCGTATGTTGTGTCTAAAACAAAAATATGATGATAGATGCTTGTAGTCAAAACAGACATTTTTAGAAATGCTCTATACTAAAAAAAACATCACTGTATGTCATTGTAACAGTTTTTTACAGTCCTAAAAACATTTTTAAGGACAGCAGGTCAGCCCAAAACAGCACCAAGTTGCTTTTAAGCAAGAGCCAGAAACAAAATGGATCCCCTTCATAATATTTAGAAACAACTTAGGACAACACTGTTAATATTAATAAAACAAAATATTAATAAAGAAGCCTTTTAACTCACCTCTTGCTGACAGGGCTACTTTTGATAGCGACGGCCATCTCATCCAGCAGTTTCAAAACTCTTCAGACTGCAAGAAGTAAACAGATGATCGTCACAACCACTCTCTTGATTTAAATGAATAGAGCATATCTACATTTTAGTACAACACCTTTTACCCTGACAGTCAGCATTGCTGAGACAGTAACCCCGGATACCATCTAATACAGCAAAAGTGCGTTTGCTGTTTGAACGTAATATTGTAAACGTCAGTTACCAAAGACACGTACATTATTATTCAAATAACCGAACAGCCTAAATTCATCATAGGCCATAGATGAATTTCACTTCTGACGGGGAAAACCTGCGCTCTTCCCGAGACCGGAAGCACAAAGCATATTTTCGATTGAAAACCCTAAACCTATTAAATCGATACTAACTCAAGAATGACGCCGCTATAAGCCTGCGAGAATTGACTGTTTAATTTGTATAGAATTATAGAAACCGTACAAAAAACATAACAAGGAAAACGCCCTAGTCCGATATCGTACCGTATGGACCCCATCGTCATTACTTTTTAACAGTCCATTACTTGCAATACTGTTTATATCTTGAAAATATACCTTTAAACAAGCAATTTAAACATCAAAAAGATCAAAACAAGTTTTTTCCCCATTTCCTCATACTATATTTCAAGTACGTCAGTCAAAATGGCCGAAAAATGGAAACTTCAACTCCATCTTCTAGTATTCAAAGCCACTGTCAACCTTCCGTTCGAATTTACTTCTAACTTAGATAAATAAAATACACGAAAAGAGATACACACGATACACGCGAGTCCTCTTACCTGCTAGGGTGCGAGGACGCGCCTTCAGTAACGTTCACGTCTCCAACAGCC